CCTCCCATCCTCCTCTCCGGCACTGAGCCTCAACTCCAGCCCCTTAGTCAGTTTACCAGTCAGTGATTAGAGAGACAAAACTGTTTCTTCTGGTTTTTTTTTTTTTTTTTTTTTTTTTTTTGTGTGTGTGTGTGTGTATATTTATGTTGATGTTTTGGAAATTGCACATATATGTGGAGGCCACAGGTTAGCCTCAGTCATCATTCCTCAGGTTCCTTGGTTTCTGAGACAAGGTCTCTCACTGGCCTGGAACTTGCCAAGTAGACGTGGTTGGCTGACCAGTGAGCCCCAGGAGTCTGCCTGTGTGTCTCTTACATAGGTTCTGGGGATTAAAATCAGGCAAGCACTTCACTGACTGAGCTATGGCCCTAGCCCTGCAAGCATTTGTTTTGTTTAAAGAAATGCCTGAATAATTCAGAAATGTGATGGAAAGTAAGCTACTTTGCACTGTTGGCTTCTTCGGAGGAGGCATCCTGAGGTTTCTAGTAAACTCCTCTACAGATCTTCTCTGTTAAAAACAAGGATATCGTAAGAATGCAAGCCTGGATACCTTACTCCATGCCAGTATTTATGAGCCCAACTAAACATCTTGTTCTTCCTATGGCTACACAATATTCCGCCATATGAATCTGATGTAATGTGGTGAACCAGTTCCTGGTAATGGTTTCCAGAGTTTGTACAGGTTGCTTGCTTTCTATTTATAATCATTGCTACATTGCAATGAACCCTCAATAACATAGGAATCATTTCTCACTTGTGAGGACACATCTGAAGGACAGAAGACTAGAAATAGAACTGCTGGAGCACATAGTTCTTGACAGGGTTCTCTCGAGACAACTTACTGTTCCATAGCCGATGCTGACATCAAACCTGCCATCCTCCTGCTTGAGCTTCCTGAGTGTTGGGACCATGGGTGTGTGCCACTGTGTCCAGGTGATTCCTCTACTAGTGATAGTGGTCTAGATACACACCCTCACCACTTATGTGTGAGTGCCTGCACAGCTAAGGATAGACAGGCTGTGTGGAGGCAGTTTTACTGCCAACACTCAGGAGGCAGAGGCAGGCAGAACTCTACAAATTCAAAGCCATTGGGTTTACATATGGAGCTCAGAGCTCAGTTACACTGAGAGACCTTGTCTCAAAAACTGAGGAACACCCAAGGCTGACCTCTGGCCTTTATGTGTATGTAAACATGAGTACACACACAAATTTAGCCCCCAAACACCTACACGTTTTAATTTTTCATTTTAAATGCTGTTTTTGAGACAGGTCTCATTACAAAGCCCAGGCTAGTCTTGAGGTGGTCTTTTGAGGGGGTGGGTGGAAGCTATATAGTCTTCTGTAGCCTTAGACCCAGTACCTCACTAAGTAGCGGAGGCCCTCCTTCCTGCACCTCCTACATACTGGCATTTTCAGTAATATGCTAGCAGACTCCATTTAAGGTTTTTCTCCTCCCCCTCTTCTTCCTCCCCACCCCTTAGTGAGACAAGGTCTCACTAAGTAGATCTGCCTGTCCTGGAACTCACAAGAGATCCACCTGCCTTGATTTCAAGTGATGGGATTAAAGGCATACATCAACATACCAAGCTTTTATGCTTTTCCTTAAAAACAAAATAGTTAAAAAGCAAAGATTATAAAAATGTATAAATGATGCATATTATAAGTAATATAAAAAATAGTTATTTCATGTTTGTTCTTTAAAAAGTTCTAGAATGGACAGGCAATGGTAGTGCCATGCCTTTAATCCCAGAACTCAGGAAGCAGAGAGGCAGGTGAATCTCTGGGAGTTCAAGGCCAGCCTGTCTACAAAGAGAGCTCCAGAACAGCCAGGGCTATATAGAGAAACCTTGTCTGAGGAAGGGGGTGGGGGATGGGGAGATAAAAGTTCTAGAATGGCTCAAGAGATAGCTTGGTCATTAAATACAAGGACTTGAGTTTGATCCCCTGAACTCAAGTGAAAAATAGAGACATGGTAGCTCACACTTGAAATACCAGTAATGTGAAGGTAAGAATCAGGTGGATCCCTGGGCCTCACTGGATGGCTCTCTTAGCCTAAATAGCTCCAGGCCAGTGAGAGACCCTCTTTCAAAACAATAAGCTGGGGGACTACAGAGATGGCTCAGAGGTTAAGAGTGCTTGCTGATCTTGCAGTGGACTAGAGTGGGGTTTCTAGCACTCACACTGGTTAACAACTGTAACTTGAGCTCCAGGTGAGGGTGAAGTATGATTCCCCCTGCTGGCTTTCTGGAACATACTCACTTTCTCTCTCTCTCCCCCCCCCCCTTAAAAAAATGTCTTAAAAAGTTTTTGGTCAGTGTATGAGAATCAACACCCGAGGTTGACCTCTGACCTCACACACAACATATGCACACACATACACATACATGCACACTAGTTTTCTAGACTATATAAAAAGCTCATCAATGATTTCTCTCTTCTGGGATTAGGATAAGATGGAAAGTAGACTTTTTTTTTTTTCCTTTTTACCATATATTCTTTTGGTTTGGTGTTAGGGTCTGAACCCAGGGCCTTCCTTGCTTATGACAGGCCAGCATTCTACCACTGAGCTAGACTTCTCATCATTAAAACATTGCCCATCTTTTAAAGGGTCTCACTATTTAGTCCTAGCTAGCGTAGGACTATGTAAAACAGGCTGGCCTTGACTCTGTGGTGACTGGCCTCCTGAGTGCAAGGCTTATGAGCATTTGCCACTCCATCCAGCTAGCACACATGTGAGTACAAACGTGCACACACACACACATGCACTCTGTGGAATATGCAGGTGCATATGCACAGAGGTCAAAAGTTGATGTCAGAAGTTGTCTTCTACCAGTTCACATCTTTTTTTTTTTTTCATCAAGTTAGATTTGTTTTGTTTTTCCTACATGTATGTATGAATGTATACCAAATGTGGAACTGGAATTAAAGATGGCTGTGAAACATGAACCCACATCCTCCGTCTGAGCAGAAAGTGCTCTTAACCTCTGAGCCAACTCTTGAGCCTCTCGATTTTCCTAAGATTTTATTTTTATTACTTTTACGTGTGTGAGCCTATGCGAGCCATGAGTGTGCTGGTGCCTGTGGAGTCAGAGAGGATGTTGGAGTTTCTGGAGCTGAAGTTGCAGGTGGTTGTGAACCCAACATGGTGCTGGGAATCAAACCCAGATCCTCTGAACAATAGCAAGTGGTCCTAACCACTACACTCTCTCTCCAGCCCTCCCACTCCCCCCCCCCCTTTGAGACAGAAGGCCAAGTTTAGTGAGAGACTGAACTTTGCTGACTGGCTGGAATCCCTGGGATCCATCTGTCATTGCCTCCCCAGCTCTGGGATTCTCACTATGCATTGTAGTGTCTGGCTGGGGAACTGAACTCAGGTCCACATGCTTGCAGAGCAATCACCTTACCACTGAGGAGCCATTTCTCCGGAGCCCCATATTTTTTTTCAAAAGTTAAAATTATTTCTAGGCATAGTGACACGTATCTATAGTCTCAGCTTGCTCCAAGGCAAGCACATCACAAACACAAGGCCTGCCAGTGCAACTCAGGAGACTATATCTCAAAATAAAAATTTCAAAGGGAGCTGAAGGTACATATTTCAGTGGTAGACACTTGCCTACATGTGAGGCCTTGGACTTAACCTCTAGGTTAAAAAAACAAACCAAGGGGGAGATGGCTGGAGAGAAAGCTGGAGTTTAATTCCCAACAATCATATGGTGGCTCATGGCCATCTATAATGAGATTTGGTGCCCTCTTCAGGCGACAGGCACACATGCAGGCAGAACACAGTATATGTAATAAATAAATCTTTAAAAAATTAAAAAAAAAAAAGCAAAAAATTGCAGGGCATTGGTGATGGCGCATGCCTTTAATCCTAGCACTCGGGAGGCAGAGACAGGTGGATCTCTGTGAGATCGAGGCCAGCCTGGCCTACAGAGCGAGTTCCAGGACAACCTCCAAAGCAATACAGAGAAACCCTGTCTCAAAAAACAAACAAACAAACAAAAAACACAAAAACAAACAAACAAAAAAACCAAAAAAAAAAACAAAAAACCTAAACTGCTCTTCCAGAGGTCCTGAGTTCAATTCCCAGCAACCACATGGTGGATCACAGCCATCTGTACTGAGATCTGGTGCCCTCTTCTGGGCTGCAGGGATATATATAGACAGAACACTGTATACATAATAAATAAATAAATAAATAAATAAATAAATAAATAAATACATAAATATTTAAAAAAAAAAAAAAACAAGCAAACAAACAAGCAAAAAAAAACCCAAAAAGGTAAAACTGCAATGTGGTTAACAAGGAGAGGCCCAAATAGACAATATGATCTCTTTTTATGAAAAAGAAAATAAAATTAGGCAGCTATGCTATCGTACACCTTAGGAGTCATTTTAGTCTCTGGATTCCTATAAAGTATAAAGCAATTACCAAGAAGGGAGGGCTTTCTCCTGAGGCCCGGGGGTACATGGTGGTCAGTCCCTGGGAATACAACTTCCACAGTGCTTGTGACTGCCATTTTTTTAAACTACAAGTCAATCTCATTCGCAGTAACTGTGTCTCCCTTCTCCCTCCCCTCCTCCTCTCCCTCTCCAGCCGTCCTGAGAGCCAGGGGAGGCCCTGAGGTAGCAGGGTTCCAGGCTTGGGAGAAAACATGCTGCAGGAACAGTCTGGCACCAGTGTCACTACTTACTACATGCGGCTACTCCTGTCAAGGAGTGGGGGACTGGAGACAGGGACACCAAAATAATCTCCAGAAGCCTGGGAGAGCAACAGGCAGTTGTGGTGTCTCCTCTCAAAGTCACCATTCCTTAGCCAGTGAGCCTTTCCTACAAGCTCATCCTGGCTTTCACATTTTAATTTGGTTCTAATACCAGGCAACAAAAGACAAATGACTTGGGAATCAGATCCTGTCATTTAAGCAAAGAACAAATTGTCCGTGGGACTTCTACCTGTGAGGACCAAAGAGAGAGATAATAAAGTCACTTGCTGCTGTGAAACATAGGAACATTGATGCAGTTGCTTTTATTTATTCGCCTATAAAGATGACCGCAACGATTGTGCTGAGTAACCCTCAGATTAACACTAATTATATTACTACAGACTGGTTCCGAACTGGATTCAGGGAAGGGGGAGAACAACGAAAATCTCCAAACACTGAAACAAAGGAAAAAACATTTCTTTTTCTTTTAAAAACTTAAAATGCTACTTTCCCACAGACTTCCTTAGACTGGGTTGCAGCCTGAGGTAAGACGAAACAAGGCTTTGGGCATTTTGAAGAAACTGCAGGTTAAAGTACAGTGCCACGCGTGGGCCTGAAACCCTGACTCGATGGAGCATCAAATCTCAGGCACATTCCAAATAGAGGCAGGTTCTCAAGTGTTTCCTAGTGTTCTCCCTCGTCACAAGTTCACGCCTATTTCCCTTTCCTGGCTGAGTCAGTATTGTATAAAGTCCCTTCATTGCTGCCCTGGTCAAACTGACTTTGGTGGAAACCTGGCAGCATCTGCAGCATCTACTCCGAATGGCAAGGTGGTGGACTACCGCTGGCATTCTTCCTCCTGAGACAGCCTCTGTGGTGGGGCTTGCTGAGTAAGGCCGCTTCGGGCAGTTGGAAGACAGGCGCACTGGGAGAAAGGCTGCTTACCCTTGGGAAAATTGACAATAGTTGCCCTGGTTCCTGGTGAAAATGACCAACTGAATCAGTCCATATCACTAGGAAAGGCCAAGGAAAAATAGCTTTCCCTCAAAAAATAATGAGAGAAGAAACCAAAAAATATTTAGGATGGCCCAAAGTGGTATGCATAAATCTCTTTTTTGTTATCATATCTAAGTATACATTTCCTAAAGTCCAGTTACTAGGTTGAACCAAATGGGATAGAAGAGAGAGGCCGACTGGAATTTCCCTCAAGAGTTCACAGCTGCGGCCTGAGAGGTCCTCGGTTTGCGCTGTGGGAGCCCCTTTTTGAATGAAGGCTTGGGTGGGCTAGATGCCATACTGGCTCCAGTTCCATTGGTCCCTGCAGAGTAAGCCTGGCTCCATTCACTATTGTTTTCTGGGGCCTGAGGTGGAGTACTCTGATACCTGGACCCGGATGAATACCACGAGCTGTTTCTGTAACGACCTGCACTGTCATGCCGCCCTTGGTTTGTGGGGTCAGTGGTCTTCTGGCTTTGTGGCCTGTAGCCTTGTCCTCCTCGCCTGTTGCCTGGAAATACCTACAGATAAAAAAGTACAATGTTCATGGTGCTCTGTCATGATGATGACTGGTTTGTGCCACTTTAGTTTATATTGTGTTTTGAATCAATCCCACCAGCCAATCCAACCTATTCACTCTGTCATAATTAATGCAGATCTCCCTGCCTCTCATGCTTAGGTCTTCCCTGAGGAGTCCTGTCTCTTTAGATGTGCATGGGAAGGAAGTGAACACAGAAGAGTCACAAACTCTGAGTCAGACAAATGTCTGAACACATAGATCCTAAGCTACCTGTAAAGACATGGGCACATGTGTGGGAGTTTGAACATAATTGTCCCTATAAGTGTAGAGGGAGTGGCTCTATTAGGAGGTGTGGTCTTTTGCTGAAGGAAGTGTGTCACTGTGGAGGTGGGTTCTGAGGTCTTATATGTGCTCAAGCAACACCCAGTGCCTCAGAATACTTCCTGTTGCTTTGGAATAAGATGTAAGACTCTCAGCTCCTTCTCCAGTACCATGCCTGTCTGCGGATCACTATTTTGTGTCATGATGATAATGGACTGAACTATAAGCCAGCCACCCCAGTTAAATGTTTTCCTTTATAAGAGTTGCAGATGGGGGCTGGGATGGAGGGTTGGAGGGGGCTATGGGAGGATGGGAGGGAGAGGGAACTGGGATGGATATGTAAAATAAGATTGTTTCTAATTTAAATAAAATTTACTAAAAAAAGTTGCCATGGTCATGGTGTCTCTTCACAGCAACAGAAACCCTAAGACAGAAAGAAGTTGGTTATCAGGGACTGGGGTATTGCTGACACCTGACTGTACTTCTGTTTGAAGGAATATGGACCTTGGGAAAGTGGATTAGGAAAGCAGTCGGATGCTTTAAGCACTGCTTAATGGGCCATCCTAGCAGGAGCACGGAAGACAGTGGTGCTGAGTGTGAGTTGATGAACTCCTGGGCCTGGCTCAAGCTACTTCAGAGGGGAAGAATGCTAGTATGTTACCTAGAGAGCGTTCTTAGGATATTTTGGTAAAGAATGTGGCTGCTTTTTGCCCTTGTCCAAAGAATAGCCTTTGGCTAAAGTGATGAGTTTTGAATTAATTCCGTTGCCAGAGAATACCCTAACCAAAAGTATGTAGGTGGCAATCTGCTTGTTATGGATTACAAGCTGCCAATAATACCACATTGCTGTGACAGCACAACTTTCACATTATAACCCAGGAAGCTTATAGGATTGGATTTTTTATCTTCTAAATCCAATGTTCTATCAGTTCTGAAGAATTACTGAGAGACTGCCTTTGTGTTTCTCCTTTAAACCAAGGAAACAAGACCATGGACTACTCTGCGGCTCTCTAGAGTTTGCTTCCACCCCTACCAGGCTTACTTTTCCCTCCCCTGATCTACTCATACTGAGCCCCTTGAGTCTTGCAGCTTTCAGATGCATGGGGGTGAACCTGACACTTGAACTGCTTGTCTATCCTGAGATGGGTGCACAACTCCCAGTGTGACTAATTACCAGACAATACAACCTACAACAAACTGCCAAGAAATGAAAAGTCAGCTGTCTCGGGCAACAGGAAGTCTCAATTGGCTGGTGGTTTGGAATATCATCTCAAATGCTTTCTCAGGAACTAATGGAGACTAGGTGGAATGGGACTAGAGAGGAAGGCAATCCAATGAGCGATCCGCACTGAAATGCAACAACTAGGTGTCCTTTGTCCCTCACATGCTCCATAAGAAAGAGCATTACCTCCTGATGAGCCTGGCAGGACTTGTCACTGGAGTCTGCCATGGCTGCTGAAGTCTCTTCTGGGGCACAGTTTCTCCTGTTAGCACCTGGAAGGCTGGGAGCAGAGGCACAGGGGGAAGAAGAAGCAGCAGACACCTCACCAGGGCCGCTCAAGGACACAGATACCACTGAGCTGCATCGAGATCTGGTTGAATAGCTGTTCTTTGGATGGGACACTGAAACAGAAACATAAGGACTGTGTTGTAGTCCAGTGAGCAATTTAAGGAACACTTTGGGTAAGCAACAGTTTGATGCCCAGAACACACACAGAGGTGGAAAGACTACCTCAAACTTCCCCTGACTTTCACACGGACTTTGTGGCATGCCACACCTCCCTACTAACAATAAGTACATTTTAAAATGGTTCATGTACCAGTCATAAGGAAAACCTATAAAGTGGCTAACAAGAGGGAAAGGAAGTCTTCTTCTCCCAAACCCACTACTCTGTGAAGAATTTAGAGCTTCAGACCAAACCAAGCCACCAACCCCCCTCTCCCCGAACTGATGGCTCTCAGCATTTCCTCCACCTAAACTCCTGGCTGCGGTTCCAGCAGACTAAACCCTGGGAATGACAGGCCAGATCACATGTTTCATTTGCCATTCAAGAAATGTCCTGCAGGACAGATTTTTACAAAGAAAGAGATAAACAATCAAATTTCTGCTAAAGTCTTTTTTAAAAAATTGAATGATGTAAGGGAAAGATAATCAAGATTAAATACAAATAGAACTTGTCTTTACAACAAACACTTATCTTGCCAAATTTCTTTCTGCAAAATAACCCCAAATTCAATATATCAATATAACTGAAAAATATTATTATTTTCAATTCAAATGGCCTCAGATATCATAGTTTGAAGCACTCCCCAGATGTCTTTTTGGCTATAAGCCTGGGTTACAGTGGGTTAATAGTCACTGCCCCAGGGCCAACATTTCCTATTTTGTTTTGTAGTGCTAGGGAGCAAACCCAAGGTCCCTGGTATAAGCTAGGCAAGAGCTCCCCACCCTCCACCTCCAGTCTCAACAACACTGATTTCATCCTGAGAGGAAGAAGAGCGGAGAAAGTTCAGAGCCTGGTCTATTATTAATATATGCCTATAAACTCCCACTTTGCTTGGACCCCTCCCACTTAAAAATGTTTTTATTTTGTGTGTGTAGTTTACCTTGAATGTATGTATGTCACTGTACATATGCCTGGTGTCCAACGAAGTCAGAAGAAAACACTGACTCCTTGGAACAGGAGTTAAGGATAGTTGTGTGAGTACCAGGAACCAAATCCAGGTCTTTTATAAGAGCAACAAGTGATCTTAACTACTGAGCATCTCTCCAGCCCCAGAGAGATTTATTTTTATTCATGTTTAAGTATACATATTTCTGTGTGTGCAAGTGCCCACAGAGGCTAGAAGAGGGATCACTGGGGCTAGAGTTATGAGTGGCTATGAGGCATCCAATGAGGGTTCTGGGAACTGAACTCTGGTCCTCTGGAGAACAGCCCTTTCAACCCGTAAGTTATGGATCTTTCCAGCCCCAGCTCTTTCCCACTTCTAATGCTATTACTTAAGGGCCTATCATGTGCCTCATCAAGGCAGAGATGATTATCTCTGTTTGAAGAGGAATAAAATGATGTCCAGGAAATCAATGCTGAAGCAAGAACTCAACTTGGCCTGATCCGAGACCCCCCAACCCCCACTAGTCACATTGTCGCATACCACTTCATCTTAGCAGAAACAATGAAAACAAGTACTCTGCTGGGTGCTGGGGACAGGTCTGTATTCCCAGAAGTCCCTGTCCTCCCCTGAAGGCACGAGAACCGGGAATAATTTAAGGCCAGCCTTGGAAACTCAGCAAGTTCATAGCCAGTCTGAGCTCCAAAAGAACAAAAAGTATTTCACACTTCAGGACTGTCAGTACCCATAGCCCCAGACCCATAAGTACCCCAGGGACTTTTCACGTGAATGAGACAAGAGGCATTGAGGAGCACACTGAGGAACACCAGTCAGCACACCTGCCCACCACCAGGGAAAAAGTCTCCTTAGCATTTTAGTGTCCAGAATCTCTCACCCTCTCACCTTGTCCAAATGAATCAATACTCTGTTTCAGGGTCTCCACATCACAGGTGAACCGGGCTACTCTTCCCAGATCTTCATCATATTTCCGTTCACTAACAAAGTGCTGGAGAAAAGACAGAAAAGTTTCCCGGTAAGAGACATTGTACACAGAACCTAAAACACACACAAGTGAATAGAATTATCTTCCATTTTTTCATTTTTACTGCTTTAAAGTTTACTAAATGACCATTACATTATGAATGCCAAGTAATCAGACAAAGTTACTCTTTTTTCAAGAGCCCAAAGATAAGCCTGATAGTTTAATGAAATGTTATAAATGGCTAACACCCAATGGTAGAACCCAAAGGAATAGTAAGGAAGGAAAAGGAAGAAGTTATAACAAAGGATCATCTTCTCCTTGTACTCGTCTCCACAGTTTCATTTTGCACAGAAGCAGAGGCAGTCAGAGTAATCATAAGCTACAACAATGATCCTGTCCAGGTTGGTTGTTCTTTGGTAGGATCCGCCTTAGAAAAGGCACTTTGTCTCCTTATAAAATAGGATTTCAGAGTCTTTGAAATAGGAGCAATTTCTTGAGATGGAAAATCATCCATGTGGAAAGGCAACTCTGCAAATGAGACCTTTATGCTGCAAGTGATTTAATCCTTTTAAAAGCAGACTGAGCTGAGAAGTAACCAGCCCCCTGAGTCAAAAGCTGACTATACTATGGAAACTGTGGGATGAGAAACATGTCAGGAATGAAGCACTTCTGGGGATCTATTAAATAAACAATGTCTAGGTGGCCAGGATACACACACACACACACACACACACACACACACACACACACACACACACACACACACACACGATGAGTAGATGAAAAAGAAAAGAGCTCAGAGAAGATTTGCAACTGAACTCCTCCTCAGAGCAGATCTCCTAACTGGGGGTAGTCTACTCCCACTTCAAACGCATCAGAATTCTTGGAGTACATCCAGAAATACCAATAGAGAAAGAGAAAATTACCCTTGAGACTTGACATCCTAAAAGTTCTGAGTACACTGCAGTTTAGGAAAGCATACAGACTTCTTGTAATGGCACTTTCAGATATAGAGGATCTGTCTGATATTAATTCTGAAACAAATTCTAGGGTTTGTTGAGCCAAAGACATAATAGGAATGACAGAGGTACAATGATCTGGAAATAAGACATTTAAATTGCACAGCACCCATTTCAGTACATTAAAAATGTGGAAAGAAACAGATCCTTAGTCAGCCTACAGAAATATTTCTAGAAACCATTCGTTTAGCCTCATAGGAAGAGGAACAGATGAAGCCTATGGGAGCCAGAATTCTCATCTAATTATGAAGGGATTTCTCCCAGACAGCTGAATGGGAATGACTGGCATCAATGTGAGGGAAATGTTCTTTAAAATTCTGTAATGTGCTATTAGTTAATAAGAAATAGTAATTTTAAACTCACACTTTTACCCCAATCAATTCTCGGAGGATGGAGTGAGGGACAAGAGATACTCAACAGGCTTCCATGAGCATTGGCTCAAACTGTACACCTGTGTCTGTGTTTTCAAGCCTCCACAGGAAGCATCCCTCCCATATATGTCAATAGAGTGCATATATTCACAGAGCAGAGGTAAAGCTTAGGAATAGAAAACGCCCTCCCCCACTTCTTGATCAAAAAGCTTCTGTTTATAAACAATGATTTAGAACACACTGCCCATGGGTACCTACAAATAATCCAACTTCTCTTGGGGTCACACAGTCTCAGAAATACAATAAAAAAAACCCAATTTATTTATTTTTATTTTATGTGCAATAGGTATTTGCTCGCACATATGAGTGTACTGCATGTGTGCCTGTTGCCCAAGGAGGCCAGAAGAAAGCATTGGAACCACTAGAACTGGAGTTACAGACAGTTATGAGCCACCATGTGAGTGCTGAGACTTGAACCCAGGTCCTCTGGGAAAGCAGTCAATGTTAAGGATTATATAGTTTATCCTAAATGCTGGAGATCTGAAGCAGGCTGGTGAAGTATGAGAATCAGACATGGGGTGGGAAGAACAGGAAAAGGGGAGAACAGGGAGACTCACCACACCACAAAAGGCTAAGCAACAGATGACAGTAGAAAAGGGCATGAAAAACAAGGTCAATCTGAGACTCAGCAGGTGGGCCCCCTGACAGATTAAATGGAGGACTGGAGAAGTTTCCTAAGATTTCCTACCCAGATAGCTGGAGAGATGATAGAACCATTTAAAGAAAGTCTGGAAAGGGCCACACTTGGAAGGAAGGCTCATGGTCTAGTGTGCTCTGGGCTGCTATGAATTCTGGAGATCTGCTGGGCTAGCCCTGAGAGTCAGCGAAAGGCAGAAAGGAGAAGAAAGTTTCACCTTGATATCAGCCCTTAGTTCAATCAACTGCTCCTCCGACATGCGCACAGCCACGTCTGTCATCTTCTTCAGAACTTCTGCTTTCTTCTGCCGGCTGAGCAGGATTTCCACTGTGGAAGAAAGGGGAGCACAACACTTAGGCTGTGGTTAAAGTGAGATACAAGTAAGAGCAGATGCCTTGAGTGTGCATCAAGACAACCAAGGCCTAGCTGCCCACTCATCCAGCAAACGAAAATACCAGAGGCCTAGTTGCACCTTAGGGGTCTCTGAAGGCAGTTCGAAGACAGGTGTTTATGAAAAACAAAGATTTACAAATCACTTGCCATTTCTCTCTCCTCTTCCTACCCCATTTTTTTCTCAAGAAGCATATAAATTAAGAGATTATATATAAAACGTTTGACACAAACTTCATCTAGAACAAACAGGTATAGAATGAAGTGAAAGCATTCCTCCTTCTGATTTTGTTGTTCTCTGCTCAGAGAGCCACTAATAGCTTCTTATGTGTATTCCAAATTCTGTCTATGATTGTATAACACAGACCTCTCCTTCCTTCATAGGAGTCTATAAAATACACAATCTTCTCTTCATCTTAGCCACTGCTATTCTGTTGTTTATGTCTTACTCAGTCCTCTACAGACATGCACCAACTATTCAGCACATCTACTATTGATGAATAGTCAAGTCTTTACATTCTTTTTAAAAAATATTTATTTATTATGTATATAGTGTTCTGTCTGCATGTTTACCTGCATGGCAGAAGAGGGCACTAGATCTCATTATAGATGGTTGTGAGCCACCATGTGTTTGCTGGGAATTGAACTCAGGAGCTCTGGGAGAGTAGTCAGTGTTCTTTATCTCTGAGCTGTCTCTCTAGCCCCCACCTTATGCTCTTTGCACCTGCTCCTATGGCTATGATGAATAACAGACCCCTACGCCCAAATCCTCCCATGGACAGTGGGCAAAAGAACCCTTAGGAAGCAGAGCTAAAGGGACTATCAGATGACCCAAAAAACATCACCACCAGGCTGAGAATTACTATTCCTCTCCAGCAAGGTTGTCTGGTGATGGCATCTCATTCAATAGCCCAAGCTTGTCTGGAACTCACTATGTAGCCCAGGATGTCATGGTAATCCTCTGCTTTAGCCTTCCAAGTACTGGAATTCACCACATAAGCCATTACAACCAGCTCTGTCCTGATCATTGTTTTTTTTTTTTTTAATTTATTTATCTTTATTTTATGTGCATTGGTGTTGTGTGTGCATGTGTCAGGTTCCCTGGAACTGGGGTTACAGACAGCTGTGAGCTGCCATGTGGGTGCTGGGAATTGGACCATGGTCCTCTGGAAGAGCAACAAGTGTTCTTAACCACTGAGCTGTCTCTCCAGCCCCGATAATTGAATTTCTAAGTGAGAAAATTTACTGTAATTATCATCTTCTTTTTCTATCAATGTAACATAGAGGAAGGGACATTTTCTCTTCTTTGAGTTTATGGACCCAAGCCATGATGTACCTGATCAGAGCTTTAGTTATTCAGAGGATATGGTCTTTCAGACAAAAGGACCACCCATTATGCTTCAGAGGCATTGCCACTGAGAAAAAGCTGGAGATGTATTTATTCCATTTATTTAACAAATAATCTTTAGCTTTTTACTTTACATACTGCAAAGTGTCTGTGTACTAATGTGATGTTCTTAGAGGCCAGAAGAGGGTGCTGGGTTCCTGGAACTGGTGTTAGAGACAGTTGCGAGCAATAATGTGGGTGCTGGAAATTGGAACCAGGTTCTCGGCAAGAGTATCCACTGCTCTTAACTGCTGAGCCATCTTTCCAGCCTCAGAAGGATGTGTTTATTTTAAAATAAAGAGGACCCTGGGCAGCTGAAGCAGAGAACTGCGGCAAAGTCTACTAATCAGATAAACATTCTTGCCCCTTCTCCTTTTCTTCCTCTCATAAGTCCAATGTTAAGCCAGGTCTGATGGTGCATGCCTGTAATCTGAACATTTGGGCAACTGAGGAAGGGTTATGATTTCAAGGCTAGCCTGGGCCACATACTGAGTTCTAGGCTGGCCTCAGCTACACTAGCAGATCCTGTCTTAAGAAATCAATCCAAATTAAACTAAAACAAAATAAAATGTTGAGTACCAATGTTCTTAATTAAAAACCAATTCTGGGAGAAGTGGGGAAAGCAGGAAGAGAGGAGGGAGGGGGAACTGGGATTGGAATGTAAAACATAAATTAATAAAAAAAAATTAAAAAACAAAACAATTCTGGCCTTACTCCAGGTGAGGTGGTTGTGTGCTATAGTCCAGCGTTCAGCCAGATACAGAGTTCCCAGGGTGGGGCATTCAGGAGGCTCTAATTGAAAGCAGTCTAATGCAAGGAATTATGTCATGTCACCCCTCCCTGACCAAATCCTTATGAGTAATCTTTTGAGGAGAGCACACTGTAAGGATGGCTAAGCGAAAGGACAGAGGAGCCTGGGTCCCCTGTACCATGTTAGCAATGCCCTGCTAACCATGACTGATTACCTCTGGACTTAACTTCCCAGGAGCATAGTAAATACATTTACTTAGGTCACTCTATTGTATGCAGTCATTCTGTACCTGACTGATCACACAGAACTTTACCCCAGGGCTAGGAGACAGCTCAGCCAATGAAGTGCTTGCCTTGGAAGCATGAAGATCTGAGGTAAATCCTGAGAACCTAAGAAAGCCAGGAGGCCAGAGGATAACCCTGGGCATCACTCCTCAGTCACCAACCACTTTTTTCTTTTCTTTTTTTCCCTTTCTGGGTTCTCTGTGTAGTCCTGGCTGTCCTGGGACTCTGTAGATTAGGCTGGCCTTGGATTTACAGAGATCCACCTGCCTTTGCTTCCCAAGTACTGGGGGATAAAGGAACCTGATAACTGCAGTCCCAACCAATTATGCTTGATTCCTAACAGTCAGACTGAGTGCAGGTGTGTAGCATAGGTGTGGAGGTCGTGAAGAAGATGCTCTAAGGGGTTGGTTCTTTCTCCCACCATGGGATTTAGGGGCTGGACTCAGTGAATGTTAAAGCCATACAGATTGCCCCAGTTAGACTTCATTCCTCCAGTCGAATAAGTATTCAAGGCATCCTGAATTCTCAGCTCAGTGCCCTTCCCCTACTTCCTGATTACAGACACTGAATAAAGATCATCCTAAAACAGAAAAATAAAAGAAATTCCATGACAGAAAATGACAAGAACAATTATTGTAAGAGGCATGGTGAAGTATCCTCTTATTATCCTAATGTTTTAGCTTTACCAAAAAACACAAAACCCAATGGAAGCTTTAATCACTAGAAAGAAAAGCAACCAGGAATCCACAGGGTGCTTTCTTTTCCTAAGGTCCATGCTATGGTAGCAACACCATGATACAATGTTTTGTAGATTAAATTCTACATTGAGAATGTTAAAAATCTGGGGGAAAATGTAAAAGACTCTTATGGAGAGTAACTATGTGAGCACAGTACAATTTCTCAAGGCTGACTAATTAAATTTATAACTTCCCCTTTTTTTACTTATAGTATTTAATACATAAACTGTCACTGTATGGGCTGGAGAGCTCGCTCAGCTGTTAGAAGCTAGGCTCACAACCAAAATAAACTATCACTGTAGATGTTCATACTAAACTCTGAGAGGCAACAACCTATTGTTTGTATTGGTAATAGTTTTTTCAAGTCACTATGTAAAATAGGCTGGCCTCAAAAAGATTGGCCTGTCTCTGCCATCCAAGTGCTAGGATTAAAGGTGTGTGCCACCACACCCTGGCTCAATAGTTTTAATTAAATATCAATCATCTTACTTGCTTCAGCTTTCACTTTGTCCATTTCAGCAAGCAATGCCACTTCTCGATCCATTAAACTAGGAAAGAAAATGACAGAAAAAAAGGGTTAGATGAGAAACTCAAATACTAAAATAGGATAATTAATAATGGAGAAAGACTAGCAAATTTGATCACTAAATACTGATAAGAAACAATGTATGAACTACAAGAAAGTGTAGTATTATATTCACAACAAATAATATTTAAAGATTCTAAAGTAAATAAATGGATTCCACTCCTCCCTATTGTCTTATGTAAAACAGCAGGCAAGCTGTTAGAAATCCAGGAGGTTAGATCCAGCAGATGGCAGTAGCAAGCCACAAAAAAATGTTTCTTAGTTATGTTAATGTGTTTATGGAAATAATTTCTTTCCACAATTTTTACATTTTGGTTTATTTTTTAACAAAAAAAAATTATGTTATCACTCTGTCCTGGAACTCTGTGTAGACCAGGCCAGCCTTGAAATTCACAGAGATCCACCTGCCTCAGTCTCTCAAATGCTGGGATTAATGTGTGCACTGAGCTTGGTTTATATAATTTCAAAATTCCTCTTCTAATTTTACCAGGCAATATCTCTCTCTGGAAGGGCCACAGAAAGTTGCTTAAGACTTGGATCTATGTATCCAACATGTGAACGTTGTGCTTTTGCAGTTTGGACACAGAATAGTCCAAGTTGATTTTTTATACAAAATCAGCATTAATCAGAAAAGATGGAAGAGTTTCTTACAGAGTTGTCCTTCCTCATGTAGGGGACAAGACCAAGGGCCTTGAATGAGAGGTGCAAGTGCTCTACTTACGATTCTTTTCTTGCAGAGCTGGATGTGGAACACAGGGCCTTGTGTGTGAGGGAGGCTAACATTCTACTACTGGAGTTTTACTCCCAGCTCTTGTTTTTGTAAGACAAAGCCTAGCTGTCATTTAGGCTGACCTTGAACTTGTCAGTCTTCTGCTTTAGCATCCCAAGTGCTGGGAATACAGTTGTGTGTTGCTAACCCTGGATTTAGTTATTTATATCTTTATTACATACTTATTTACTTATATATGTATGTAGGCTGTCAGAATCAAAGTGAAGAAGTTCACTCTCTTCTGTCACCATGTGAGTCCTAGCTAGAACTCAGGTTGTCAGGTGTGTAGCAGGCCCCTTCACTCTATGAGCCATTCCATCAATCTGAGATTTCTCCTTCTTAATAAAGTTTGGCACATGCCTTTGGCACATATGGTGGTGCACACCGTTAATTCCAGCACTCTGGAGGCAGAGACAGGTAGACCTCTGAGTTCAAGCCCAGCCTGGTCTATAGAGTGAGTTCTAGGACAGCCAAAGAAATCTTGTCTTTAAAAGAAGACAAAAACAAGAGGCTGGAGAGATGGGTCAGCAGCTAAAAGCACTGGCTATTCTTCCAGAGAACCCAGGTTCAATTCTCAGCACCCACGTAGCAGCTCACAATTGTCTGTAACTCCAGTGACCAGAAGTCCAACAACCTCATGCAGACATGCATCTAGGCAAGACATTAGTGTACATAAAATGAATAAATACATTTAAAAAAATGAAACAAAAAGGGTATAGTACTAATGTTAATAGAAATTCTACTCTTCTTTCTGATTATAAAGGCAATCACACATACACGTACACAACTATTTATCTATGTAATTGTGTCAGCACAAAGTAATTAATAGGGAGACTACACTATCATACAGGGCAGGGAACAAATACTTCCCAGAAAAGAGCCAGAGAATGCTACTCTGATGATTATGCACGTTAATAAACAAATTTGTGTGGCAAATTAATCTAACAGCACCAGACTGGAGAGAAAAAAAACTATCCTGAGTTGGCCACTAGGCTGTGAAACATTTCCACCTTGTTTGTTCAAGAACTCCAGCAGCCTCTAAAATACCCACAAGCCACATTTTAGGACAGGAACTGCCAAGCCTACTGCTTGCCACCCTCCTGCTGCCAGTTCATCTTAAGATATACACACTGTTAGTACCAGATGACAAATCCTTTGTCTTTGACTTCACAAAACAAGGGTTTCACATCTCACAGTCTTCACTACGAAAAGTACAGCTGTGCAGGATGTTTTTCATCAAATCCGGTTCTACAATGACACTACCAGACCTTTCTTGTGGAAATATGAGGGGGTAAATTGTGATGACATTCTTTCCACTGTAACGAAGAATGGTGTTCATTGGTTTCTACAGATTCATTGGTGAACACAAAAAATTCATAGTACATTGACTAGCAATGCAATATTATGAAAACCTCTTACATTCTAAGAGACTGGAACTTCTGCTAAACCTCACAGCCAGATAAATAATACACCTCTATTCACTTAAAACTTGAGACTGAGAGCCTGCTGTGTACCTAGCCTGTTTGTTTAACCTGCCTTTTGGAGAACACTGTGACACCCAACCTTACTAGCCTTGGGCTTCCAAGTACTCAGCTTTGCAACCTAAGCTAATGTATTACTATAATTTTTAAATTCTTAATTCCTTCATGCAGCTGAACTAGAGTAATGCATGTATATCATTTGCTGAGAGCAGCAAATGTAGAGATTGAAAGCAATCTTATAAATGTTGAACACATTTGGTTACTGCTTGATTACAAACAATGACGCTTGTAACACTGTTTGTCATCTGGGTGAATGGGAGTCAATGATTCCATCCCTTATAAAACCTCTAAAAAAAAAGATTTCTATAAAGTAGCCCTTATTTCTTCTGCTTGTGATACCTTCAGACCTGTTCAATAGAAGAGAGCAAAGTCCTTTCAGGGACAGACACACATATACACTCTTTTAAAAATATGAATGTTTTGTCTTGTATATATGTCTGTTTGCCACATGTGTGTTGATGACTGTGGAGGTCAGAAGAAGACATCAGATCCTGTGAACAGGAGTTACAGGCAGATGTGAGCCACTGTGAGGGTGCTGGCAATCAAACCTGGGTCCTCTGCAAGAACCACGGATTCATCTATCCAGCCCCCTTGGGCTTCACTCTTGATTAAGTGACACCAAGGACAAGTGCTTTAGTTTCTTTCCTTAGAGTGACATTATTAATCACTAATGTGTTTAACCCATGCAATTGACAACATGAGCCCTCTCTTAAAAAAAGTTACTTTACATTTTCATGTCAAAGATGAATAAAAACTTAGTAAAGACCTGTCTTGAAAGTCTGAGGACTTGCATTCAATCCACAGAACCCATGTAAAAATTCTGGGCATGGTGACACACACTTGTAACTCCAGGCTGGGGAGGAGAGCACTAGCAGATGCTTGGGGCTTGTTGGTTGGTCAATCTAGCTTAATTAATGAACTCTATGCCAGTGGGAGACCCTGCCTCAAAAAGAGGTGGATAAAGTTGGGTATTGTGGCATATACATCCTAGTACTTTGGAAGAAGAGGCAAGCCAGCTTCTATGAGTTCAAGGACATCATGGTCTACAGAGCAAGTGCCTGGCTAGACAAGGCTACATACTGAGACCCTGTCTAAAAAACAACAACAACAAAACCAAAACAACCCTCCCAATCAAAGCTACATACATACAAAAGGAGGTGGATGGAGGATAACTGGGTTCAATTCCCAGCACCCACATAATGGCTCATAACTGTTCCATGGGATCCAATGTCCTCTTCTGATCTCCATAGGTACCAGAGACACGTGCAGACACAACATTTAACACATAAAATAAAATCTAAATTTTTTAAAAAAGAGATAGATGGGATTCCTGAGGATGAATCTTGAGATTGGTCCCTGGCTTCCACATGCACTTCCCCGTACACAGACACATAAATGCATTTCAAAAACCAATGAAAATTAGCAATTACTTCTTTTTGTTTGTCATGTTGCCACAACATCTACTGAAATACCGTGGAGTTGGCTCAAAGTAAACAGGAATTGAAAACAGAGCTTGAAGGAGCTCTGATAGGGGATATCCTTCTGTATATATGTTTCTCTTATTGGTTGACATATAAAACACTGATTGGTCTGTAGCTAGGCAGGAAGTATATGTGGAGCTACTAAAAGTGAATTCTGGGGGGAAGAGACAGAGAGAGGCCACCAGGAGACACCATGCTGCTGAAGGAGTAACATGCTGGATTATGGGTAAGCCACAGCTTCGTGGCAATACATAGTTTAATAGAAATAGGTTAATAACTAAAAGAGTTAGCCAGTAAGAAGCCTAAGCCATTGGCCAAACAGTTTAATATAAGCCTCTGTGTGTATTTATGTGGGACTAAGGGGCTGCAGGACCAGGCAGAACAGAACCTCCATCCACAGAGCTCTATTAAAGATTTTACAACTCATTAAGATATATAACATTAAAGTTACTAACACCTCTCATTAAAAATTCCTGACACAATGGCTTTATGTAGTCTTCTTAGGTCATTTATTTTAAGCAAAGAACTAAGGGCAGAGTGTTATGGCTACCAACACATCCACATAGCCAATATATACCACTGTTTTATTCTTTTAAATTTTCTATTTTTTTTTGAAAGTTTTCATCATAGAAAGTTGGATAAATGTGTTTACTACAACATAAACAGAGAAGGGTAGAAAGTTAAAATAAGACTATCAGAAAGGTTAGATATTGGATAATAGAAAAGGTCTTTTTTTTTAAACAATAATTTATTGTAATTCAACTTTCCAAATCAGAAATTTCACTGGAGTTTCCTATCTGTTGTTAAGCTAAACAGTGGTCCCAGCATGTAATGGTGGCTGAAAGAGCCACTGCCCATGGTATGAAGTAATCGTTTTTACAATCATAAATGCATTAGAGACGAGAGTGAAATCTCAGGGCCTGATAGCAGGCTCATTCAGGCTGTCAGACTTCCTTGACCTTGCTCACTCCTCAGTGAGCAAGGTCAGGCACTAAGCTTCCCTTAAGGCTCTCTGCAATGGCAGTATGCCACAACAGCATTGGGTAGGCTGGGAAGTGGCTAATGTGATTTGTTCAACATTGCTGCTTGGAAAGACAATTGGGTCTTATTTTTAGACAGGGTTTCTTTCTGTAGCTCTGGCTGTCCTCGAACTTACTCTATAGACCTCGAT